TATTGTTTGCAAAGAAGTTTACATAGTAAAAGAAATGTTTTTTAAAGATATCTTGGCACCCACCAAGCCGATTTTGACGCTCTGACCACTATTAGATGCGTCTTGACAAGCTCTACAAAAGTTTCTTAAGTTAGAAAGGTAATTAACTTAGTATTAAAAAAAAGGTTTAAATGCACACATGCCACATTTGGAGACCTCCAATTTTTATAAGTAATTTGAGTCACTTTTTACTATGATCATTTTCTGGTTAACTGGTGGATCACCAATTAATAAGTCTGATGCCGAAAGAATTTTAGTAAAAGAAGAGCAGGAAATCTTCACTTTTGAACAATATAGAAAAGTGGCAAATTATCTTGGCACTAATGAAACTTACTTGATCACAATTATACGCAATACTTTACAACATTATGATTTTGCAAAACATAAATTAGCAAGAGAACAAAGCTTATCAGATGAAGAAAAAATTCTTCTAGATTGTACAAGCCCTATTACGATGCAAATAGATAGTATAGACAAAAAGCAATCTCGGAAAAGTAGTACAAATATCAATACTAAACTATCTCATATGGAAAGTGTAATTAGGCAATCGACCACTACACCCAATTTAACCAAAATAGAAATTGAAACAAATGTGAAGGACTTTTTGACTTCTAACAAAAATAGAATTAATCTGACTCCCATGGAAATTATACAGGCAGCTCCAACTATAGAAATTATCAACACTATTAGCAATATCGAATTAGAACCTCAAGACAATCCCATAAGTACAATCACACAGATCAAATTTTAGAGCAAAATACACAAAAAAATCATTCAGATTTAGTCAAAGAAGCCTTAATACAAAATGAATATGGCACAGTAAATTACGGTCTTAATGATCATATCAAAGAGAAATCCTAGATAAATATAGAAACATCAAGCAATGAAATATATAAGAAATCTAAACAACATGAAGACATATACAATTCTGCTTGGGCACCGGAAAGTAAAATTACATATCAGGAATCTAATAATCTCTCTACATTTGATTTTACGATCTGGGATCTACTAAAAGGAATAGATAGCTCAGTAATTGTAGTATATTTGAATTACTATAGTATAGCAACGGTTATAGCTTGGCAAAATAACTTCAGAACGAGAGCAGCTCATATTAAGTTATTATCTAAGTCAGAATTCAAAGGAAAATCTGTAAAGGAGAGTTGGTTGACTCAATTAGAATTAGGCAAAACATATTGAACAACACCAGGCATTTTTGATATTACAGAATTGGAGTCAAGAAACAAGTATAAATGCCAAATCACTAATTTACCAACCACAGTCCAGGATAGTCTTCTCCCCTGTGCCAACTTAAAAGATATAAAGTTCAAGCAGTCTACATTCTTAGCAATAACAATGAAAACCAAAGAAAAGTAGCTCAAGTATATTTCAAATCGGAGGAAGACCTCATTCTAGCACAAAGCTACACTCCTTACTATTTTAATTTCAAACTTAAGTAGCGCACTTACTCAGAAAATTCATTTTGGAAAAATGTATCTGGTAGCACATTCCACTATAAGAGAGAGAGTAAAATCATAAATAAAGGGAAAAAAGTAGCAACAGATTTGGAATTTCTGAAAGAAAGAAACCCAACCAAAAGGGCATATACAAATCAATCAAAAGAGAATAGAAATTTCAACTCTGTGTGGACAGACAACAGTAAACTAAACAGATGTATCATTAACTCTAGATTTTTAAATAGGAGTAAAAAGCCTTTCAGAAATATTAGAAACGTGATCGCAACTGGGTCAAATAGAATTGAAATTAGAGAAAAGTGAGAAAATTAAAACAAGCAAGCAATAGAACTAAGCCTAGATGGAAATGCCTGCAAAATGACTAGATCATATAGTAGAGATTCTAAAGAGTCAAGAAAGGTTCATACACCTGTAGATATTTCACAAGACAATATTTTAGAACAAATTTTAAATAGATTGCAAAAAATAGAAGAAAGGCAGGGGAGCCAGCCTCCAATTTCTCCTAAGGGCGCCCTAGTTGTACTACTGAAATCAAACAAGCAAGATAGCTCGTTAAAGCATACACCACTTAAGATAAATAATAATGCCTGTGAATTAAAATTAGAAGTAGATATAGAATTAAAACTAGCATGTCATAACATCAATAGACTAAAATCAAATAACCAAAAGCTCTTATATTTGACAAATTGGGCAATAGAGAAAGCAATTAATATCATAGAAATAACAAAGACGAATATCATACAAGAAGAGGGCAATTATATCCTCCCGCTAAATAGCCTATACAAAAGTTACTGGTCAAACTCGAGCCCCAACAAGAAAAAAGGTTTCAGAATAGGTGTGCTAATTAGCAAAAAGATTCATAAGTATATCGGTAACTTCAAAAGACACAGTGAGTACTTGCTAGAATTCTATATAATTTTAAAGTCTTTAAAACTAAATATACTTATTGTATATCTCCCATCAAACAATCAAGTGCAAACAAAGCTGATACAATAGCAAGTTCTTAATATTTATCTGAACAGAGCCAAGAGTTTTGAAACATTAATCATGGGAGACTTCAATCATGTTTTAACACCAGATCTAGATAAATATAGCCCTAGCAGCATAGCAGTACATAAAAGACTTCCTCTACACATGTAGTTGTTAAAGCAAAAATTTGTAGATACTTTTAGACATCTGAATCCAGACTCTTAAGCATACACATGGTCAAATGGTAGCATAGTTACATGAATTGACCAAATATGGATTTCCAAAGATTTAACTCCAAATCTATATAAAGCAAAAATTGTGAACATGAAGCTCATAACAGAAAGCAATTACAACACAGTGCTAATAAGCTTAAAGAGTGAAATGATCATGTTAGATAATACTCAGAGATCTAATCAAGCTAAAGGCTCGCACTTAAAGTTTTTATATAACAAAGCTACAAATGAGAACTGGGAAGACTATAGAGCCTCTTTATATTTCTTTCTCAGTAAACGTTCAATATCAATAAATACACTTAACAAAAATATTGATGAAATCTCTCAGCAAGATATAGATAACATATAGATGTCCTTTGAACAAGGAATATTATATGTGGCTAAATTAAATATTCCATATAAAAAGATACCAAACTCATCAAAAAGTACAATACGAAAAACAAAAAGAACAATGACACCTCTTCATAAAGACACTATTAGTATAAGCAAAATTTGTCAAGAGTTTAAAAGATTAGCAAGAGAAAATAAAGATCAAAAAGCTACTACTGTAGTCTTACTTAGAAGATTACAAGAAATTAAATCTTTACTTTACAAGATAAATCATAAACATAAAACAAACATAAAGTTAGATGAAAAGGTGACAATAGAAGAATGGGTACAAGATATGAAGGGATGGCTTTATCTGTTTAATAAAAAATGAGCGGCAATATTAGAGAAGCATAAAAAGAAGAAAATCAAAGAGTTTACAGATCGTTGATGCCTAATGATCTATGATGAACAAGGAAAAATACTCAAAAGTATATTAAATAAGCTATACTCAAAAGCTAAACTAGATAGAGTTATAGAGAAAATAGACAATGATTTTCAGTTATATACGAACCTGAAAGACATTTTATCTAAAACCCATACCTTCTTTCAGAGCCAATACAATAATAGTCACCCAAATTTAAATCTCTTATTAGAAGAGTGAATAAAGATTTATGAACTACAATTAAGTATAAATGATGCCTGGTATATAAATTTAAAAAAAGACATTTCAGAAGGAGAATGGCAAACGAGCTCAAGAACAACACAACACCAGATATTACAGGAATTGGTTATGTTTTAATTAAAAAGGCAAACAATGCTATACATGAAATTTTTAGAAAATTTGGATCCTTTTATTTAAAAACTGGTAAAATCCCAAACAAATGGAAATGTAGCCAAATTTATCCTATACCAAAATTATCTGAATGGAATAGTACATTAAGCTCCCTAAGACCAATTGCACTGTTAGAAACTTTCACAAGTGTGTAATGAAGATTCTTGCAACTCGTCTATTAGAGATTATAACAAAAAACTTAGTTCTTAAAGGACCAAACTTCACAGATCTACCTGGGGATTCAATGTCCAAACTAATATATATACTAAGTAGTATTATCAAAGATACTAAAGAACAAAGAAAAGAATTATGGCTTCTATTTTAGGATATGCAGAAAGCATTTGATTTAGTTTCGCTTCAAATGCTAAAACTAGCAATGAAAAAAGTTAAAATTCCAAGCATTTCAATAGATTTCATTATAAATCTATTTGAAAATCGAAAAACAAAAATTCTAACAGCACTAGGCTCTACAGAAAACATTATAGCTTCAAATGGTATAGAACAAGGAGAAGTTCTTTCTCCACTCATATGGAGAATATTCTATGATCCTTTGATATATAGGATGCAAAGCAATAAGAATCTAGGCTACATAGTTAACTTAAAAGAACCACTCGATCTCCAAAACAATTCTTTTTTGGAGACAAATTTTCGTCAAGCAGCTATAGCATACACAGACAACACAACGTAGATAGCTAAGAGCAAAGTTTAGCTAGAGTTAATACTTAAAATTGCAGAGGAATTCTATACCATAAACAATATTAGAGTCAACTCTAAAAAGTTAAAATTAATAGTAGTCAACTCAGCAGTGATGGCAGATAGCAAAAATATACTTTTAGCAAATGAAAAAGTCGAAGCAGAGAAAAGTAAAATACTCACAAGATTTTTAGGAATAGGCTTGAGTGGCAAAAAGCAAGACATGTTATCAAAAAGAAAAGCCAATCACCTTGTCCAACTGACAATAAAAACAATTAAAAACAAGAAGCTCACGTTAAGTCAACTAATTTACTTAAACAATATATATTTGATCTCTAAACTTTGCTATATGCTGCAAGCAACTGGCCTATCCAAGACCACTTTGGAATTATTACATCAACCAATGGTTAGGCTTATAAAAAATAGAATAGATCTGCCTTGTACAACAAGCAATTTTCTATTAGCACACAGAAATTTAGAAAATTGCAAATTTCTTTGGCAAGAACTCTTAACACAGCAAACAACCGACCTGTACCACAGATTAAATAGTATAAACAGAGATGGTTAATTAGCAAAAATACGTATCAAACAAGATTTTTTGGTTGCAAACATTATTGATAATAATTGATTTTTTGAACCAAATGCAGATCTGAACTTGATATGGAGAAACAATACAACATGTCTGACTTTATACAAAGCAAAAAAATTTGGTATAAATATTAGACCTATAACAGAACAATGGCATTTTCAAAATTTTGGCCCACTTATTAAAGAATTCATTAGTTCTCCTCTTTTTATAAAAGCAGCAAAAAATATACTCAATCTTGGTATTATCTTCCGTAATCAGCTTTTAGACAAAGAAGGGAAAAAACTCCTAATCTAGCAGCAACTCAAAATAGCAAAAGGCAAAACCAAGTAGGTAAAAAAGCTACATGGTTTGCATTATTAGAAAAGATCTTGCTACAAGATCAAGAAAGTAGAGAAGTCAAGGTGACTTAGTGTGCAGCAGACTCGAATAATCTGGCGCAAAAGATGCTACTTGTACCAATCTCTTCTGACAAAAGGAAAAAAAAATGGATTCTGATAGATAAAGAAAGATTATCAAAAAAAGCAAAAGCAAAGTTCTGACAGAGCACTGGGTAACTTCAGAAAACAATACGCTACTAGGCTATGTAGAAATTAAAAAGCTCAGTGAAGCACTTTCAACAGAACAGAATAAAGAGCTTAAATGGATTAGCCAAAGTAGTGTATGCATGGTGATCTTTAAACTGCTACAAAAGTTTAATCAAAAGTACATTCCTAGATACAAAGACATTCTCCCATACAAAACCATTAAAAATACTCAATAGTGAAATCCTTATCAAACCATTGGACAGGCAGCTAATTTTAGATCAGAATTTTGACATGATCTTGGTGAATAATTTGAGTAGTAATTTAGACTTTAATAATAGTAGTGGTAGAAGTAGGTTTTGGGTATACACAGATGGTTCATTAATTCGAGAAGAAGAGATTAGTAGTATGGAAATTGGTTGAGTACAAGTAGATGAAGAGCAAGTTCAGTCCTTATAGAAGGAATACACTAAATTAGTTAATTAGTTGTTATCAACAAAGCCCGAGCTCATTGCAATCTGGTTAGCTCTTTTTACTATTCCAATAGAGGGTAATGTATGTTATCTATATCTTGCTGAAAGATTTCATCAATATTTTTGTTAAGTGTATTTATTGATATTGAACATTTACTGAAGAAGAAATGTAAAAAGGCTCTATAGTCTTCCCAGTTCTCATTTGTGGCTTTGTTATATAAAAAATTTAAGTACGAGCCTTTAGCTTGATTAGATCTCTGAGTATTATCTAATATGATCGTTTCACTCTTTAAGCTTATTAGCACTGTGTTGTGATCGCTTTCCATTATGAGCTCCATGTCCACGATCTTTGCTTTATATAGATTTGGAGTTAAATCTTCAGAAATCTATATTTGATCAATCTGTGTAGCTGTGCTACTATTTGACCATGTATATGCTTAAGAGTCTGGATTCAGATATCTAAAAGTATCTACAAATTTTTGATTTAACAATCACATGTGTAGAGGAAGTCTTTTATATACTGCTGTGCTGCTAGGACTACACTTATCTAGATCTGATGTTAAAACATGATTGAAGTCTCCCATGATTAATGTTTCAAAACTCTTGGCTCTGTTTAGGTAAATGTTAAGAACTTGCTGTTGTATCAGCTTTGTTTGCACTTGATTGTTTGGTAAGAGATATACAATAAGTATATTTAGTTTCAAAGACTTTAAAATTATGTGGAATTCTAGCAAGTACTCGCTATGTCTTTTGAAGTTACTACATACTTATAGATTTTTTCACTAATTAGCACACCTATTTTGAAACCTTTTTTCTTGTTGGGGCTTGAGTTTGACTAGTAACTTTTGTATAGGCTATTTAGCAGGAGGATATAATTGCCCTCTCCCTGTGTGATATTCGTCTCCATTATTCCTATGATGTCAATTGCTTTCTCTATTGCCTAGTTTGTCAAATATAAGAGTTTTTAGTTATTTGATTTTAGTCCATTAATGTTATAGCATGCTAGTTTTAATTCTATATCTACTTCTAATTCTAATTCACAGGCATTATTATTTATATTAAGTGGTGTACGCTCTAATGAGCTATCTTGCTTGTTTGATTTCAGTAGTACAACTGGGGTGCTCTTAGGAAAAATTGGGGGCTGGCCCCCATCTTTCTTTTATTTTTTGCAATCTATTTAAAATTTGTTCCAAAATGTTGTTTTGTAAAATATTTACAGATGTATAAACCTTTCTTGACTCTTTAGAATCTCTACTATATAATCTAGTCATTTTGCGGACATTTCTATCTTGGCTTAATTTTATTACTTGCTCATTTTGATTTTCTTGCTTTTCTTTAATTTCAATTATATTTGACCTGGTTGTGATCACATTTCTAATATTTCTGAAAGGCTTTCTACTCCTATTTAAAAATCTAGGATTAATGATACGTCTGTTCAGTTTACTGTAGTCTGTCTACACAGGGTTGAAATTTCTATTCTCTTTTGATTAATTTGTATATGCCCTTTTGGTTGGGGTTTTTTTTCCAGAAATTCCAATTCTGTTGCTACTTTTTTCTTTTATTTATACTTTTAATCTCTCTCTTATAGTGGAATGTGCTACCAGGTGCATTTTTTCAAAATAAATTCTTTGAGTAGGTGCACCACTCAAGTTTGAAATTGAAATAGTAAGGAGTGCAGCTTTGTGCTAAAATAAGGTCTTCCTCCGATTTGAAATATACTTGAGCTACTTTTCTTTGGTTTCCATTGTTATTGCTAAGAATGTGGACTGCTTGAACTTTATATCTTTTAAGTTGGCGCAAGAGAAGACTATCCTGGGCTGTGGTTGGTAAATTAGTAATTAGATATTTATGCTTGTTTCTTGACTCCAATTCCGTAATATTAAAAATGCCCGATGTCATTCAATATGTTTTGTCTAATTTTAATTGAGTCGACCAACTCTCCTTTATAGATTTTCTTTTGAATTCTGACTTAGATAATAACTTAATATAAGCTGCCCTTATTCTGAAATTATTTTTCCAAGCTATAACAATTGCTATACCATAGCAATTCAAATATGCTACAATTACTGAGCTATCTATTCCTTTTGGTAAATCCCAGATCATAAAATTAAATGTAAAGGGATTATTAGGTTTCTGATATGTGATTTTACATTCTGGTGCTCAAGCAGAATCGTATATGTCTTCATGTTGTTTAGATTTTTTATACATTTCATTGCTTGAGGTTTCTATATCTACCTAGGATTCCTTTTTAATATGATTGTTAAGACCATAATCCAATGTGCCACATTCATTTTGTATTAAGATATCTTTAACTAAATTTGAATAATTTTTCTGTGTATTTAGATCTAAAATTTGATCTGTGTGATTGCACTTATGAGGATTGCCTTGAGATTCTAATTTGATATTGCTAATAGTGTTGATAATTTTTAAAGTTGGAGCTACCTGTGTAATTTCCATGGGAGTCAGATTAATTCTGTTTTTGTTAGAGGTCAAAAAGTCCTTCATATTTGTTTCAATTTCTATTTTGGTTGATTTGGGTGCAGTGGTCGATTGCCTAATTACACTTTCTATATGAGATAGTTTAGCATTAATATTTGTACTACTTTCCTGGAGTTGCTTTTTGTCTATGCTATCTATTTGCATCATAGTGGAACTTGTACAATCTAAAAGAATTTTTTCTTCATCAGATAAGCTTTGTTCTCTTGCTAATTTATGTTTTGCAAAATCATAATATTGTAAAGTATTGCATATAATTGCGATCAATATACAAAACCAAATACCTATTAGTATAATAATTAAAGATATACTCACATCTATCTACAACCACAAATTAGCTGTAAATTTCTTACCTGAGCTTTACTATACACCTGGAATTATAGAAGTCTATTTAGATTCCAAACAGGATTCCTTTCTTCAATCACAATACTATCTTCTTATCTAACTTGGTTTTACAAACCCTACTTCAACTTATAATTGAGAAGCTTTAATTATGAAGCAAATTACACTCCTGGCAAAATAAATATATTAATTTTAACTCATTTTCCATTTCATTCTAAATTTATAGTTTAGAGGTTTTTCAGCCTATCTAGCTAAGATTAAGGTCTAGAGTAAAGTAGCTTTATCCTCACTTCCCAAAAAATTTATATATACTTACTTTGTAAATTTTGCATAATGAATAATAAAGGAACTGAGAAAAAGACCTCACTTAAAAAAAAAAAAAATAGTAATTAGATTTATTAATTTAGTTGATAGTTCTAATTATCTATTTTGGTAAAATAATATATATTATTTATAAACAAATAGTAAAAATTGTCAAATATTGGCTAACTTTGTAGCTCAGATTATTTAAAGTTTTATTTTAAATCACTTTTAAAATTTTATAAGAAGATGTTTCAAATGCTAAAGAATTTACAAACTTAGACTCAAAATATAAACTAATAGCTTTTTTATATTAAATAAGTCAAAAAAGCAAAATTTGTCTAAATTTTACTTATAAAATTTAGGTGTATCAATTATTTACTTATAAATAAAAAATTTGCATATGTCAAATCATATGACTACTAATGAAACCTACTTTTATATTTTAAGTAAACTTGTTTTATATATAAAATTACATCATATCAGTATATATTTATCTTATAATTTTAAAGTTTAAAAAAAAGATATTTAATTTTGAAATTTTTAATCAAAAATTTAAAATTAAGCATTTTTCTCTTAAAATTTAAAATTATAAGAACTAATATAATATATTTTATATGTAGAACAAGTTTACTTAAAACATTAATGTAGGTTTAATTAGTACAAATTATGAATTTTAAAATTTTATTAATAAAATTATAAAAAATATTGTAATTTTTAAATGTTTGCTTAATAAATCTCTTGTTAGCTTCTAAATAAAGTTGTAAAGAAGTGTTTTGTGATTAAAATAGCAGTTAAAATATTAAAATTGGCTTAGTAAATTGTAAGATATAAGTATTTTAGTCTTTATGACTATAAGCTTTTTTCTTTATTTATATAAAAAAGAAAACATATAATTGTGAAGATAATAATACTTATATCTCATGATCTACCAGGCTAATTTTAATGTTTTAACTACTATTTTGATTACAAAACACTCCTCTACAACTTTATTAGAAGTTAAAAAAAAGATTTGGTTAAAAAACTTTAAATTCAAAAATTCTAAAGACAAAAAAAATTTAATAAACATATTACTATATTTCTCACTGAACCTGAACATCTATAAACCTTGAACTGAACCTGAACTAAATCTAAACTTGACTTAAAAGTTTAATACTAAATCTGAACTAAATATAAACTTTACTTAAAAGTTCAATATTGAATATGACTGAATCTAAACTTGACCAAAGTTTTGTTTAGTTTAAGTTTATAGAAACACTAGTTATAATTTATATAATAAAAAATTTTTATTTTAAAAATTTTAACAAATACAGTCAAACCTCCATAAATACAACCTCCATAAATACAATATCTCTCTAAATACATATTCTTGGCCTGGCTGTAAGAAATTATTAGTGCTAAATGCATGTTCTATACTCTGCAAATGCATGTTTACTTAAAAGATTTTCTATATCATACTAACCTCTCTAAATGCACATAGCCAATCAGAATTCAGTATTCAAGTTG